GGCGCCTGCCACCACCGCGCTGTTTACAAACTCACCCCGGGAACAGGGGCCGAACCGCACATTAAAGGCCGGGTCCCCCACAGGCTTCCGTCACATCTCGCGAGAACTCAACTGACATCCCCCTGGGCAGCGGGGAAGCGCGAGTCACGTGGCAGAGGGGGGCGGGAAGCGGGACGACGCGCGCCGCTGATTGGCCGCCGCCGACCGGGCGCTTGGCAATGCCGGAGTGTCTGTGTGGCCGGAAGTGCTAGATGACTGGGTGTGGCGGAGCGCGGAGCCGTGACAACCGCTTTAGCTAAGCGGGCTCTGCTCGGTCCGGCGCGTGGATGGGCGACTGGGGGCAGCGCTGACCTGCCTGCTGGTGACTGGGGCGTGCTGCATCCCGTAACACCAGCACGATGCTAATAATCGCCTCGTATTTGGGTAGGCCGAACCTATTCTTTCTGCTTCTGCAGACTCCTTGACTGCCGCTCTCTCAACGCCATGGCAAGCAAGGAGTTGCGTTAAAGCGCTCTCCTGTGTAGTATCCGCTACTACCCAGAGTGGGAGAAAACCCACCCTCTCCGCTACAGATCTCAAGTGTATATGGCTCAAGATTTCACTTGCCCCAGGCTAGACCAATGTGCCATAAGAACCAAGCCAAGCTGTGTCTGTGCTGCAATCCAGCATATTAGGTTAAAGCGCCGTTCAGGGAGGATTTGTGCTGAAATGCTGCACAAGGAGCTCAAGTGGAAGAGGGCGAAGTCTGTGCTGTCTGCTGCTGATTCTGCAGAAGGGACATTAATTGCTGGTAGATTTGTGGAAAGGCAGTAGCACGCACGTGGAGACTAAACTGCTGCAACTCTTTGCTCAGTGAGGATGCTTGAGGCATATGTCACACTGGAGTTTTGGAATAACCCCTAAAACCTGGTACTGGTTCCATTCCTTTGCTTTGGTTTCCCAGTCTCCTTAACCACCACAGTTCTCATGGTGGGAGCCATGTGTGTGCCTATAGCTCTGCTAAGCATTCAACTTATTTAACACACATCAAAAATGTTATAGTACTGTACAAAGGTAAGCATCTGTATCTAAATTTTACAGATAAGAAATCAGATGCATTTTGTATTGATTAAAAAAATATCCTCATCAGCTGTGGCAACACAGTTTGGCCGCTAAGTGCTCTGAAGCAAGGATGCAGTTTTAATTCTGTGTTCATGTACATTTTAGAACTTTCTTGTTCTGAGCCTCAGTCTCTGATCAGGACACAGATCAGTCTAAGAGACTATAAATAATACTGAAATAAATAAATACATTTTCTAAAAAGAGTATTAACTCCAGTGTCATAAGCAAATTCTGCAGTATGTAATTACATTTTGTCTAAATTTCCCTGAACCTGCAAAAGACTAAATACAGCAGTTGTACTTTCTCTTGTAAATTGATTTGCTGGGCACTGTACAGGACTTGTGTAAAGTACTTTGAGATGAAGAGGGATAAAGGACCATGCATATAAGTGTACTGTTTACTTAACAGTTAGGATTACTATTAATTGTATGTTGTAAAGGACTCATATGTGAGTGCTGAGAAGAGAGGTACAGAAGTCTTTTATTTTCTACAGTTACAAGCTTTCCACGCAGAACAACCAAGAGCTGTATTAAACAACTATTCAGTGTTTCAGATCTTCACATGGCAACGCCAGTCCTGAATCTGAACAGAGAGCTGAACTGCAAGTTCTCTGCCTTTCCTCAGTCTGAAATTGGCCCCGAAATCATAAGCAGAGAGAAAGAAGCAAGAAAAGTCAAAGAAAGAAAGAAGCAGGATAGAAAGGATGAATCATTTCCACCTGCAGCAATGACCTAAGAACATAATTGGTAACATAAACATTTCCTTCATCATACATTACGGAAACATTGTTGTACACATCACTTTCACTGTATTTGAGGTGGAATGAATCAGATCTACTTGAACAGCAGGTAGAGCAGTTATTCAGAGATAATGAAGATCTCTTCTCCAATTGGCTTCAACAACAAACCATGAATGCAGTCTTTGGATTTGGAGAATCTGTAACAGGAATGTTCCTGAGCTATCTCTAAGGTCAACATAGTCCATGTCAGAAGAAAATGTGGCAAAGGTTTCAAGAAAGTGAAGTCTAAAGCATTGTCTCATGAGACTTTTTATCTGGTTTCTTCAACCTATGGAAAAGGTTTTCTGATAATGTAAGGTCTTATGGAGAGGACTGAGAACCCTTTTAGATAGCTCACTGCTGCCCAATTGCTGCAAAAAGAGTTTTTTGTAAAAAAATCTCATCTTTTACACATTTATAGTTTGTCTCTCTTGCGAGCATTTCAGTAAACCTTTTCGTTCTTGTAAGACCACTCAAATTGACCAAGCTGTTAAAGTGCTCAAGTTACCAGTGAAACAAAGGTTTTTTTTTTTTTTTTTGGAGAACAGGGAAAATAGATGAAGGAAGTCAACGTGGCCCAGGATTATTCAGATGTGAAAAACTGCCCTTCCTTCATTGACTGTAAACCCTTTGTCATCCACAAGGAGGATAATCCACTCTGAAGGTTTGTTGCCATGTTTTGAAAGACCTTGACTAGTCTTCACTAGTCTGATCTGCAATACTGAGATCCAATTCTTTCAGGAATGGCATAACCTAGCAACAGTTTTGCTTGGTTTTGGACCATTTTCAGTAGTCTAAGAGTGATTTAAAAGATAACAAGCTTGGGAAGATGCTGCTAGTAAGACAGACAGGTTTCACATCTATATCATGGGCTACGTGAGATGTCTGATGCTTTTCAGACAAGGCTGATCATAGGGAAAAAGATACATGTTGATAGAGTGAACCACAGGGGAAAGAAGGGATGTAAATCCAGAAATTGCCATTCAAAGGTGATTAAAATTATTAGTGGTAACTCAAAATGCTTTTCATATTGAAGTTATGGAGCAATAGCTTAGCCACAACTCAGCTCTACACCAAGCACAGTTATAAACTCAGCACAGCTATTTTATGTGCACACTTATTGACAAACACGATATACAGGGCTGAAGCTAGGCTTGACTGAGATGAGTTTGAAGATCCTGGTCTAGCCAAATACCACTAATACAGAAATATGAAGCTTGCATTAAACGCTCTCATTGAAGCACTTTGCTAGCGCTATTAAGCACTCTATTTCAGCCTAGAGTAGTCAATAGATGTTGGGAAATGTGTATTTCCAACTCAGACGCCTGCAAGGATAAAAAGAAGCTATGGCCCAAGCTCAGTACCAAACCAGAGATTCATTTAGTACTAAAAGAATAGAACATAGTTTAAGATTCAAGGAGAACATAGAAACTGAGGTAGGTAGACACATGCATTGCACTGTCCACCAGAAGGATAGCGGTACAAACTTCAGACTAGAATTCTAGTAACCTTTATTTGCCTTTCATCCACAGCAAATACACATCAGCTCAGTAGGAGAATAGCTTATGAGAACAGCTAACAGCAAGGTCATAGAAAAACAGTGCATGAGTAGAAACATGGAAGATAGCTGCAGTAGGCTTTACCTCCTGTTTCAAGAAAAATATTAACTTCCAGACCCAGTCACATAAGGTACTACTAATACTATGCTGAATATTTAAAGCTAAAGCATCTTTTACACTCCTGAAGTTGTGTGCGCACACACACACACGGATGTCCTCCATATTTAAGGATCCTTTTGTTAAGATCGCTATTTTCTTCAAAGACAATATGGGAAAAGTAGCCTCCTAAGCTGTGTTCCCAAGTTAGGCTACATGAACATCAATTTGGTATTTGAGTTCAGACTAAAACAAAGGCCATATTTACACGTTGCACTGACCTGATAGCCTATCCCCAGGGAAGCATAGGAAACTGACGGGTGACTATTTATAACTCATAGTAGATCGCTTCCTCCTGGATTTAATTCAATACCCATCTAACAGCAAGATGCCAAAGATAGTACGTAAGTTTTTCTCCTTCTTCCAAAGTTTAGTTTATATGTATTTTTCGAATGATCAGATCTATTATTTAACATCCAGTCTAGAAAGCCTGATGTGTTATCAGAAAGCCTCCACTGGTTAGTATATAGTAGCACAAAGTTTGTTGCTAGAAGCGTAGGCAATACCTTGAAATGCATTTAGATTGTCAAAAGGCAGATACTGTGAGAAGCAAAGCTCAATATTGCAGGCATTTAGTTATTAAAAACACTTTGATTCTACTGCTATTTAAGACAGAGTAAGAAGACAATGCAAGAGTGACTTAAATTCCGGAAGCTGGAAGTTCTCCCTTTTAATTAGATGATGCCAAGAATGCAGTAACTAAGTAACAGTATAATGTCTAAGTGCCACAATTAAATACACTGGACCAAGTTATGCATAGATTTATTGGGAAAAAAGTAAACCAAATAGTTCAACCTGGACAGTAATCAGAACTGACTGGGAAACTATAACTAGGGTCATCAAATTTTATAGCAATCTGAGAACTGATGCAAGAAGATCTTCCCTATCATTATTGTAGATTGTTTAGCTCCTATCAAGAGATGCCAAAATACCTTATGTGTGAGCTAGTATGAGAAGAAACAATTTGTGCACAGAAACAGCTCTGAGTAAGTCTAAAGCATAGGTGATGGAAAGAGGCCACCAATACAGCCTTCCACATTTAATCTCACTCTCTACATACTTGTTGGACTTTAAGCCATTGTTTTAAGGGTCCTATGGTATATGTAGTTCACTGACCAGGAGAAATCCATGGTGACTGAATGACAAGATGCTGTCTTCCAGATATCCTAATGAGAAAGAATAAATGCAGGCAACAGGTTGACAGTTAAAGTTGTTATCTTTAATGAAATGACTTTGGAAATAGTGTCAATTTCCATGACACCAACATTTTGGGAGTCCCATAAAATATGCAGTATTACATTCCAATGCCAATATTACAGGCAGATCTCCATTCACATGGCAAATAGGATCAAGAAAGCAACCATCAGACAGAAGAGACCCATAGCTTCAGACAGGGCAAATCCCAGGATAGCATATGAGAACAGCTGCTGCTTCAGAGAAGGGTTTCTAGAAGAAAGTGAAGGCATAAAACCTTTTTATCTTTACTGAATAAGATACTTGTATACAGGTTGATGCATCTGACAGGTTCAGGATCTCATGCCACAGGTGCCGTAAAAGGAAAATCAAATAAATCCAAGCAGAAGTAATCTTTAGCAGAATTTCACCAAAGACAAGTGACTTAACAATTAAGACTGGATTCAGGTTATGCAGATCGTGTTTAAGAATCATACAAAGCTTTTCCAAATTAGTGTAGATTTGTGATACGTTCGTGTGTCCTTTTGGAAGCGATTTCGTCACACACTCATGCAGAAACTGTTATTGCAATGTTTTACAAGTGTATTTCACACCTGTGGCATTAGAACTATATTATAGATATAGGAACTTCCTTGGAATATTTCAAGTAGCTTACAGTTAAATACAAGAACTGAAATCGTCTAGAGCAAGGAAACAAGTATCAGCAGTTTGTTACAAATATGTAATTAATTATCCCTCCAAGAAGTGGGTGAGAAAGAAAAAACCCAACATAATACTATGAAGTGATTTCCTGTACATGTTGACATGGTAAAAAACAGTGCCAAGTTCAGAAAAGGAAATATCAGTTTTGTAGTGAAAACACTTATGTTTCTTCAAGTGCAAAGTGAACTTCCTTGTCTTCAGCAGAGCTTAGAAAACTTTAAGACAACTTAACTAAATCCTAACTGGTTCGAAGACTAATGAAGAACATAATACCTTCAGTTAAGTCTTTTATACCGTATCAGTTCTGCTCTTCAGTGATACTGTGTGAACTGTAGGTACTACAGGAACAATATAAGCTCTACACTGTAAACTGTTATTTGTTCCAGTTCTTCCCCCCCCCCCCCCCCCCCCCAGATCCCTAAAATGAGTAATTAATTCAGAGTAATTTCATACTCAGAGATGCAAAACTGAATGCATTGGAAAGCCGAATTAAACATCCACACAACAATTCTGATTACTAGGTATAAAGCATAGAAAAATCATATTACACATTAACAGTTCATACACAGTTTCTCTTTAAGATTTCTCCTCCCCTCTCACAGGGGCAAAGCTTCAGACTAGAAGCTTTTTTTGATTTAAACTTTAGAATAGAATGCTGGAAACATGAGCTTAAGGGATTGAGACATCAAGTCTAATGAGCTCATCTTTTTCGTGTCTGTTCTCCAGAGTAAACTGTACAGAGTTTGAATTCAACAGGAGT